AAAAAAAAAAGAAATCTCCTAAAAACTGGGCTCCAGCGTTACTGCCTGAAGCCAAAAGCTTATTCACACGGCCCCACCTTTCCGGCCAGATGTGCCTTCCCAGGCTTACCTGACACCCAGCCCATTGTGTTGACGATGAGAGGGGACTCTCTCTTGTAGGAGCTGAACACATACTTTATTATCTCAATATAATTTTCATAGTTGTTTTTACAAGCAGGTTTCCCATAATATACCATTTTCTGTGGTGTCCTCTGGTGGGTGAAAGGTGGTCCTAGGAAGATAAAGGTAAGAGTTTGAATCTGTGACTATTTAAAAGGAGGTGAGGGTTTTTCTTCGGCCATCACCAGTGACAAAGATCCTTAGGAAATCAAAGACCGTCCTACCAGACCATTCTACCACTAGGAATAGTTGTATCCCATTTTCAGAAATCTAAGCTTTCCGGGCAGCTGGGTAGCTCAGTCAGTTGAGCGTCTGCCTTCCGCTCAGGTCATGATCCCAGCGTCCTGGGATCGAGCCCCCCATCGGGCTTCCCTGCTCAGTGGGGAGTCTGCTTCTCCCTCTGCCTCGCTTCCCTACTCATGCTCTCTCTTAAATAAAATCTTTAAAAAAAAAAAAAAGAAAAGAAATCTAAGCTTTCAACTTCATACAAAGATACGTTCATTTTTACATATAATTAATCCCAATTCTGTCCTAATACGACCATTCACTCAACAAACATTTACTGAGCACCTGTAACACTCTGAGCATTGTTCTAGATACTTAGGATACACCTTAGGATAAGCAACACCCATCCTTATAGGGTTGACGTTCTAATGAAAGGACAAATAAGAACAAGGGCAATCACTTGCTGGAATCTAGCACTTACAATGTCCCATGTACTTCACATTAGTCTCTGATGTTCATAAAAACCCTATGAGGTAGGTAGTATTACTATCCCCATTTTTAACTTGACCAAGGTCACAGAGCAAGTAAATATCAGCTGGGCTTAAACTCAGGTGAGCCAGCTCCAGGGCAGACGCTCCTAACTGCAGTACTGGTCTGTCAAGCCTGAGCCAACTCCCCTCTCTGGTTGGGGCTGGGAACTCACTCAGCAGGCTGGTGACCAAGACCACATGCCAACAGTTGGCAGGGTGAGGGCCTTGGTTAATGTGGTTGGTGCAAGGCCACCTGGGACAGGGCTGGCGAGGCTCCCCTCAAGGGTGGGGTATGGGGATTTGGGGCAGCCCACAGCTGAGGAAGTGGCCTGCAAAGCAGAGGGATTGAACAAATACAAAGGGACTGAGTAAATATGTAAATACATGGAGAATAATCATAGCCACGGTTCTTATCATCAGAGATGAAACTTACAAATATGGAAGGGGAAAGGCTAACTACAATAAACCCGGGCTGTCAGACTGGAATCGGAATGATAGCAATAAACTCGTGGCTCTTAATACATAGGGAACATACAAACAAGGAGATATAGATGCAGTGTGTATACACACGTATGTGCATGTATGGATCTAAGCATACGTATATTTCCTAGCTCTGTCCACCGAGGGGGGCCCACAAGCAGTCACACCCCAGAAGAAATAACACACTTCGTTACAGGCAGAGTGGAAAACGCTGGCAAACACTTATCTTAACCAAATGATCAGAGTTAACCTCTCTGGTAACAGGGCAAACTGACAGCTTGTTGATATGATGCACTGAGAACAGAGCAGCACATCTCAATCAAACCACAGGGACATTCGATAAATGTACTCTTCCAAACTGCCAAGGTCATAAAAGATAAGAAAAGCTGGAGGGAATGCTCCAGACTGGAGAAGACTAAAGATTTGCAAATACACACTGGGCCCCGGCAGGTGGCTGGAGGACAGAAGAGGGAACAGTACCGCGGCCGAATTGCTACCCTGACTCGGTGGCCGCATTATGACTACGTATCATAATGTGTCCTTGTCTGGGGAAACACCTGCTGAAATATTAAGGGGTGAAAAAGGATAAGAAAAGTAAATCGACTAGGGAAAATGTAAAAGAAGAGAAGGAACAATGAAACCAGCTAGAAAGCAAAATCTAAACAAACAGTTTTGATAAAACTGTAAAAACAGTATGAATGCCCTACTTATTTTTGTCAAAAAGTCTGTTAAATCCACAACGAATCCAGCAACCTGATCTATCATCTGCTTAAAAGTCAACTAAACAAAAATCACACAAGTATCTCGACAGACGCAGAAAAAGCACCTGACAAAGTCCAACACTTTCATGATACAAACATTCCACACACTAGAAACAGAAGGCAGCTTCTTTAGCCTGACGATGGGAATGACAAAAACCCGCAAATGACAGCATACTTCTGGTGAAGAACATTCCCTCTAAGGTGAGGAACAAGAAAGGGATGTTTTCTTCTATTCAGCACTGTACTGAAGGTTCCAGCCTGAGAGCGCTAGGAGGTAAGAAAAAGAAATCAAAGGCATCCAGACTGGAAAGGAAGGGTGAAACTATTTCTATTCACAGATGACGATCTTCTATCTAGAAAATACCAAAATATCCACAAGAAACCTATTAGAGCTAATATGGGAATTCAGCAAAGTTGCAGGTTACACAGTCAATACACAAAAATCATGTGTGTTTCTATACACCAATAGTGAACAATTTGTAAAAGAAATTAGGAAAGCAATTCCATTTATGGTAATAAGTGAAAGAATCCAACCCTTAGGAACCAATCTAACCAAGTGAAAGACTTACACACTGAAAACCACAAAATATTGCTGGAAGAGGGCGCCTGGGTGGCTCAGTCGGTTAAGTGTCTGCCTTCAGGGGCACCTGGGTGGATCAGTCATTAAGTGTCTGCCTTTGGCTCAGATCATGATCCCAGGGTCCTGGGATCGAGCCCCATATCGGGCTCCCTGCTCCACGGGAAGCCTGCTTCTCCCTCTCCCCCTCCCCCTGTTTGTGTTCCTGCTCTCTCTGTCAAATAAGTAAATAAAATCTTAAAAAAAAAAAAAAAAGTGTCTGCCTTCAGCTCGGTCATGATCCCAGGGTCCTCAGATCAGTTCCTGCATTGGGCTCCCGGCTCAATAGAGGGAGGCCTCTGCCTCCCTGTCTCTCATGAATAAATAAATAAAATCTTAAAAAAAAATTGCTGAAAAAAATTTAAAAAGACTTAAGAAACTGGAAAGACATCCTGTGTTCATGTATAGGAAGATTTATCATTATTGAGATGTCAATGTCACCCAAAGTGAGCTACACATTCAATCAATGCAATCCCTACCAAAATTCAACAGCCTTTTTCGCAGAAATGGAAAAGCTGATCCTCAGATTCATACAGCATTGCAAGGGTACCAAATGGCCAAAACCATCTTGAAAAAGAATGAAGTTGGGAGGACTCATTCCTCCATTAGCATAGAACTGGCATAAAGACAGATATATAGGCCAATGAAGTAAAAGACAGGGCCCAGAAATAGGCCCTCATATGTATGATCAAGTGCTTTTCCACAAGGGTGCCAAAACCATTCCACGGGGGAAAGGACAGTCTTCAACAAATGATAATTGGAAAACTAGATATCCACATGCAAAAAAATGATGTTGGATGCTTTCCCTATATCATATACAAAAATTAATTCAGAATGGACCAAAGACTTAAACGTAAGAGCTAAAACTTACAAAACTCCAAGAACATTAGAAAAAAATCTTTTTTTTTTTTTTTTAAAGATTTTATTTATTTGACAGAGAGAGACATAGCGAGAGAGGGAACACAAGCAGGAGGAGTGGGAGAGGGAGAAGCAGGCTTCCCGCTGAGCAGGGAGCCCGATGCGGGGCTCGATCCCAGAACCCTGGGATCATGGACCTGAGCTGAAAGCAGACGCTTAACGACTGAGCCACCCAGGCACCCTAGAAAAAATCTTTACATTGGACTTAGCAACATTGTGAATATGACATCAAGAGAATGTCAACAAAAGAAAAAATAAACTGGAAAAAAAAGGAAACTGGATTTCATAAAAATTAAGAACTTTTGTGTATCAAAGGACACCATCAAGAAAACAGAAAGAAAACTTAAAAGACAGGAAAAAATGTTTGCAAATTGTTTATCTGATAAGAGATTAACACTCAAAACATATACAAAGAACTCCTAAAACTCAGTAACAATGCAATTCAAAAATGGGTGAAGGACTTCACAGACATTTCTCCAAAGATCTACAAAAGGCCAACAAGCACAGAAACAGAGGCTCAACATCATCAGCCATCAGGGAAATGGCAAATCAAAGCCACAGTGAGTTATCAGGGCACATGTGACAGGATGGCTGTGATTATGATAAGATGTGGAGAAGCGAGAGCCCCTGAGGACAGGGATGCAAAATGCGGCCACTGTAAAAAACAGGCTGGCGGTTTCTCAAAAAGTTAAACATGGCGTCACCACACGACCCAGCAATTCCCCTCCGAGTGCCCATCTGAAAAAACTAAAAGCAGGGACCTGCACAGGTATTTGTATGCTGATGTTCACAGCGGCACTATTGCCAGCAGCCAGGAAGTGGCAACGTGCCACTGTCCATCAACAGCTGAATGCATCAATAAAATGTGATCCGTGTATACAATGGAATGATACTCACCCACAAAAAGGAAATGAATTTTGATTATCTGCTACGATATGGACTATCTTAAAACACTTATGCTTGGAGGGTGCCGGGAATGGGGGAAATTAGGTGATGGGGATGAAGGAGGGCATTGTCGTGATGAGCACTGGGTGATGCATGGAAGTGTTGACTGTACTGTACATCTGAAACTAAAATAACACTGTGTTAACTGGATTGAAATAAAAACAAAAAAATAAGCAAAAAGAAGAAAAACCATTATGATTAGGAAAAAAAACAAAACAGACACACGGACAAATAGTGTTTCCACTTTCATGAGGTATGTGGAGTAGGCAGAGTCACAGGCACAGAGACTAGGACAGAGGTTAGCAGGGGCTGGAAGGAGAGCAGGAGGCGGCAAGTGTTCTTTAATGGGAACACCGTCACAGTTTGGAATGATGAAAAAGTTTCAGATACAGTGGTGAAGGGTATAGAACACTGTGAATGCACTTAATGTCACTGAATTGTACACCTATCGACAGTTAAAACAGTAAATATCACGTTGTGCATATTTTACCATAAAAAAAAAAAAAGCAACAGGGGACTTTGGTCTGGTCTGGAGTCTGAACCAGAAAAAGTACATTAGTAGGATAACTAGTGAATTTTGAATAAAATCCATGGATTGGCTAATAGTATCATGTCAATGTAATTTCTTGGTGTACATCATTATACGGTTCGTTTTTTTTAAGATTTTATTTATATTTATTCATTTGACAGAGACAGTGAGAGAGAGAGAGCACAAGCAGGGGGAGCAGCAGAGGGAGAGGAAGAAGCAGGTTCTCCACTGCAGGGAGCCTGATGCAGGACTCGATCCCAGAGCTGCATGCTCCACCAACTGAGCCAGCCAGACACCCCTTACACTTTTTTAGCTTTTTGTAAGATCATTATATTTGAGTTTTATAAAACCAAGACATCAAAGAAATGTGTAATACATACCTAGAACTGGTTCTGTAATATTAAGTAAAGAAATGCAACCTGGAGGCGTAAATTCTGTCTGTCCCAGATCACATTCCAAATAGTCAACGCAGGAAATACTGAAAATTTGAAAGGAATAAGGAAAATCTCAACTACCTTTACTCTGTCAAAAGAATAAATCAGATCTTACAGACTTTATGCAATACACAGGCACAATCCACCCTATGCAGCCTTTTACATAGAATGCTCCAAAGATGGCAATCAACATAAAAAAAAAAGTAAAAAGAAAATGTGATGCAGGCATGGTCACAGTACCCATTTGTAATATGGATACAACTTTGTCTTTCCTAAAATCTGATCTTTAAAACACAACAGAATTGCTCCCTACTCTGAACCGCTGGGTATGGACAAACAGATTCTGACACCAAGTGACTCCTCTTGCACACTCACTGATAAGCACGGTCAGTTCACCCCGAGAGGCTGATGTGCCTCACTCCAAAACACAGCCTAACAGAGAGTGCCGTCACTCCGCTGAGTGGCTTTGCACAGACTTGTAGATAATCCCTACTGAGAAGTCAAGATGCATTCCCATCTAGTTTCTTAAATCAAAAATCCTATTTCATGACCCTAATCTAATAACGTATCTAAACAAAAATAAAAACACTCTTACCTATTTAACAACTGGTTAATGAGGTACCTATTAAATGTTGACTTTCCAACGTCCTGAGAGCCACAAACCAGAATGACAGGGCAGCCGTCTACTTCTTCTGGAGGTAAAACAAACATTGAAACCTCAAATTAGCCACCTTCGTTAGGGCTCTACCTGTAAACTGTGATCCTCTGAGGCCCTGGGGGATGAATGCTCCCTTTACCACCAGGTACCACTCACCACAGGACACGGTGACCAACTCCTCCATGGCCGACAAGGCACTCTCTGTCAAACGAAGGCCGTTTTTCTTCTTCTCTCTTCTAATGCCAACAGACCTCAGGGCTAAATGTTCAGAGTTAATCTGGAAGGTTGGACTCTGAAATAAACAATTTAAGTTTTAAGAAAACATGAACACAAGTGCACGTCTCTTCCTCCAGTTTTAAATTAGTAAGCCTCAAACAGTCGTGCGCTATGGAAGGTAGATCCGAGCCCACCCTCTCACCCCCACAGCCACCCCTCCAGTGAGTCTCGTCAGCTATTCCTTCAGTTGTCCGTACCTGTCCTCCTGGCTCACATTCACTTCCAAGCTGCCAACACCTCTGCAGGAGACCCCGCAGGAAAGGAAAACGTGTGCGAGTTTAAAAAGCGATTGCCGGGCGCCTGGGTGGCTCAGTTGGTTAAGCGACTGCCTTCGGCTCAGGTCATGATCCTGGAGTCCGAGGATCGAGTCCCGCATCGGGCTCCCTGCTTGGCAGGGAGTCTGCTTCTCCCTCTGACCCTCTTCCCTCTCGTGCTCTCTATCTCTCATTCTCTCTCTCTCAAATAAATAAATAAAATCTTAAAAAAAAAAAAAATCTTTAAAAAGCGATTGCCACAAGAACAATTCAAAAGAGACCAGAGCTGTTGAACAGGTTGGTGCTTTAGAAGAAAATCAAGGCTGTCTCCAAAGACATAAAGTAAAAAGACAAGGAACACATGCAGACCGGGCTGAAAGAACGTGGAAGACAGGCCCACTAAGCCCGCGGGTGCTCTGCAGAAGTACCAGGAAGCCACCGGCCAACCCAAGGAATGGAGGAGCAGGCCCTTGCTGCAGCGGGTGGGGCTCCGAGGGAACACGGTCTCCGTGGTGAAGAGAATCAATGAAGAGACCCATCCATGACCACCTCCTCATTCAATTCATCAACCCCAGGATAAAAACATCATAAAAGGAACAAGAACCAGTCTGGTGTGTGACTTCCTATCAGCAACTATGGATTCTAGAAAACAGAGGAGCAAGGCCTTCAAGGTTTCGAGGAAAAAAACTCTATACTGTGCTCAACTATCAATCATGGAGGCAAAATAAGAATATCTTATAAAATGAGATCATATAAAGTTCACTACCTGCCTTGTATGAAAAATAACTCTAGAACGTATAAAAACACAGTGGGGGAGGGAAGTTACCCAAGAAGGAGCATAAGGAATATAAAGAGTGGTGGTGAAGTCCCAGAAAAAAAAATAAAGCTAAAAATGAATGAAAACAGTATTAACGTGTTTGGGACCTTCACGTGCAAGAGGCAAAGGTTTGGTGACACAGGTTTCCCATTTCCTTCTCCATGGCCCTCATCCAGCTACTGGGTCTGCACCAGACCTGTGCTCTTTGTCCAGCTCCTCTGAAGACTTCCTGATCACACTCGCCTGGTTTTTCTCCAACATCAGTGACCCCTACTTCTCAGTCTCTACTGCTCCCTCATCCAGACCTCTTCTTGGTAGTGCCGAAGGGCCGTGACTTTGAACCCCCTTGTTCTTCTCTATCAACTCCCTTGGTGTTATTATCCCACCTCTCGGCCTTTGGGCCATTCTGCTGAAATTCCAACAGAATTCCAACATTCCAACGGAATGTCTAACAGGCAGGTCAAGGTGAACATTTAAATCTGCTCCTCCCACGGTGCCCCCAACTCAGTAACGCCCTGCACCCAAAAGCATGTATTCCTTGGTTCTTCCCCACACCTCACATCCATAAGCCTGATAATCCTGCAGATCAGGCTCAATTTATGGCTCGTGGGGGACAATTATAGCAATAGAACTTGACTTTAAGAAATAACACAGTCAGCAAAAATTTGGAGGCAAGAAAGAGAGAGATGGGAGAAATTATAGGTACACTAAAGTATATTCATAGAGGAAATTTATACTATCTCAAGTTAATAAATCAAGATAAAAAGATAACCATTTTAAAAATTGCAATAGGCGGGGTACCTGGCTGGCTCAGTCTGTAGAGCATGGAACTCTTGATCTTTGGGTCGTGAGTTCAAGCCCCACGTTGAGGGGTAGATTGTACTTAAAATTAAAAAAAAAAAAAAAAAAAACTTCGGAAAAAACATAAAAAATAAACTAAAATTTCCAAAAAGCATTTAACCACCTACAGTATGAAAGGATGGCTTTCACTGGGGAATAAAACTAATGAGGAAGGGGAAACAATATTTTTCATGATACGCCTTTCTATGCTATTTTACTGCACACACAGATGACGTTGTGTACAACCTACAACACGACAGACTGATTTTCCAAGGGAGCATCCTACAGCCAGCTGACGTGTGACTGTTCTGGTGAAAATAATTAGCACAGCTCCAAATGAAAACTAGTCCTACCTCTTGTACGAAAACGTAAGATAAACCTGGATGGCGGACTAAGAAGTTCACAGTGGGGGTTTTCAGTTGTTCTAGCATCACAATGGAACACAGAGGAGAAAAATTCTTCATCAACCAACATCTGTCATCTGTAAAGAGAAAAATAAACTACCTTAGAAATAGTAACTCCATTAAATTCTACACCATTTAGGACTACCTTCTTTTTGGCTGAACTGTCAACTTTTTGAGAGCAGGAATTATGTCCAAGAGCCTTCTTTAGGAAACCATACTGCATATCAGGAACACACCTGGATGGAGAAGTCAATCCAGGTTTGCTTTTGCTACACAATATAGCTGTGTGGTCTTAGGCCATTTTTCTCATCTGTAAAATGGTGAAAACAAGTTCCACTCAAGTTTCACTTTAAATAGACACAGAAAAGTGTGTAATGTCTAGGCAATAGGAAGGACCTAAAAATAGCAGCCTTATTATAGTACACCCTCAGTAAATTATCCAGTTGCTTTTCTTACCCCGATTAAGATGAGATCTGAGCAAAGCTCGGGCTTCCCTTTTCATCTCCTTCTTGCTTTTCTCAGGCATGGAATAATGAACTGCATTGATAGTCAATCGAGAGTGGGTGTAGGTAGAAAAGACATCTTGGGGAGGCTGGCCTTGGCTGATGGTAAAACCAAACACCTGCACTTGGCCATAGAGGCAAGTCACACGACAGATGCCACTAAAAGTAAAACCCTAGCAAGGAAGAACAAAGAAAGGAAAACATAACATTACAAGTTCTGTTACTAGAGACTGAAATTTTCTAAATTTTTTTTTTTTAACTAAACTCTATGCCGGAGATGGGACTGGAAATGACAACTTGAGATCAAGAGCAGCACCCCCCCCCTTTTTTTTTCTTTCTTAGTTTTCTAAACTCTTAGTTGCTATTCACATATCGAAGGGGAGGGGATTTCCAAGTAACAATACATTGTACTAGGTGACCATCAGGTACTTAATACCTCTAACCTGATTTCATATCCCAGGACAGTTACAGAGATGGCTGGTGTATCCGGACACATGAACAACAAGGGGGGGTCCCACGAACTGGTATCTGCTGTTCTCACGGATCCCTATCTCTACCAAGGCCCCCTGCCAGCCAAGGGTCTCCCATTCCTGGGTTTTCACTTTCCTCTCGCGCCGGAGGAAATCCAATGCAAGCAAGGGAAGAGCAAAGGACCTGCAATTAGGCTGCCTGGATTTGAATATAGCCCTGCCTCTACTGAGTACCTTCTATCAAGTTACCTAAGCTATAACTCAGTTTCTTTGTAAATTTTCGGAAATAACGGTAATGACTCCATAGAGAGCTAAGAGTATTAAAAGGGCTCGTAAACCTCACTCAGAACATAGAGCCTGGCACTTTCTAAGCACCCAGTAAATGTGACCTAGTAGTATTATTTACTATTATTGAAGTCCCTCTCAGCTCTGAAGACCTAGAATCCCACAACAGGGTCCTCGTTACCCCTGCTCAGTACCACCGCCAGGAGGAAGGCGCTCCACCTGCGGCCGGAGAACCTGCAGATGGGGCAAGGTCTTCTCCCAGCCCGCAAGTCCTGGCGCTGCCGCTCCTCCGGCGGGACCCACCTGCTCGAGCGGCAGCAGCACCAACGCGCGGCCCGGGCCGGCCGGCCGCACCGGCGGGATGGGGAGGCTCGCGGGGCCACTCGGGGCGGGGGCTGCGGCCGGAGCCGGGCTCGGGGCCGCGGTCTTGGGCCTCCGGGTCGCAGCGCGCGACACCAGGCAGCCGCTCTCCCGCCAGTCCGCGCCGGCTGCCTGGGCTTGCAGCAGCCGCCGCCGGAGCCGCCTCCGGCCGCACCAGCGCAAGGTCCCGAGCCGGCGGCGGGGCCGGCGGCTGAGAACGAGCTGTGTCCGAGTTTTGCGGGCACGCAGCCACGTGGAGCGAAAAGGACCCCGTTTGAGCAGCAACTGCGAATCCGCCATGCTGACCACTGGCGCCAGCCGCGCGAGAATCTCGCGAGATCCACTCGCTCCGCCCCGCGGCCCGTCGAGAGGCTGAAAGAAGTGGCCTGGGTGCCGCGAGCGCCCTCTGCCGGCGGCCCTAGCAGTGCACCTGGGCCTCCGCCGGCCCCTCGGAGGCTCCCGCCGGCCTGGGGGCTTCAGGGGCGGCAGCCTTGGCCACACCCCACCGGGCCGTCCCTCCGAGGGCTTCATTTACATTATGCAAAAGCCCCACCCCGGCCAGATACCCGGCTTTGAGTCCTGGGCCACCTCTCCGGAAACCTACTTGGAATTTTTCTTGCAGAAAAAGAACCGGGATTGGCAGTTTAAGCAAAACCGGTCTATTTGCATACTGTGTTTGCATGCAGTTGTCTTTGGGCTGAGGGGAGCCACCCTGGATAACAAGGCAAACCCACAATGATTCACTCAAAATTTCAGTGTCCGAAAACTAAGGCTGGGAGGAGGTCAACTCAAAGCCATGTCTCATTTGGCAAACTGAGGCCTGGGTAAAAGGCTCCAAAACCCGGACCCCCTCCACATTCTGTCCCCCAAAGAAGCTGTGTCCCTGCCTCCTTCCTCTGACCATCATCCCCCAAATGCCAGAGCTCCCTTTCTTTTTTCTTTTCTCTTTCTTTTCTTTTTCTTTCTTTCTTTTTCTTCCTTCCTTCCTTCCTTCCTTCCTTCCTTCCTTTCTTTCTTCTTTTTCTTTCTTTCAATAGACTCCATGCCCAAAGTGGAGCCCAGCGTGGGGCTTTTAACTCAAAACTCTGAGATCAAGACCTGCGCCAAGATCCAGATTCAGTTGTTTAACCCACTGAGCCAGCCAGGTGCCCCTGGGGCTCCCTTTCTGAGCCAGGTGAAGCCACAGGCACCAGAGCAAGAACAGAAGCCACAACCATGCAGAGGAGGGGTCAGTGGCTGCCACCTGGTTTGCATCTGTGCCTTCCCCCTGCCCAGTTCCTGAGTAGGACCACAGGCTCAGAAGGTCAAGGCAAGCAGCCTGGTTCCTACAACTGAGTTTCAGCCCCACCCCTGGCACAGGCATGAAGTTGGTAAGCATCTGGGCAGCTGCTGTCTATTCTATTTAAACAGCCAACCTGGTCAGAGGGCTCTGCTTGGCCATACCAGGCACAGGACCATCTGGCCAGCATGTCACTCCTGGCAGCTCACCTAGCCAGCCTGCAGCTCTCCCTCTCCTGCTGCTGGGCCCTCAGCTGCCACAACACAGAGCTGTCTCCCGAATTCAGCCACCCTGGGGATTACCTCATTGCAGGTCTGTTCCCTGTGCACTCTCACCGTCCAGGGGTGAGACGCAGGCCCACAGTGACTCTCTGTGACAGGTAAGTGAGGGGTCCTATGCCTATAAGGACCTCTGCCTGCCCTCCTTGGTGAAGACCATGCCCTTTCTGCCTCTGGGGCTGCCTCCTGAACCACCTCTAGTCCCTCCCCATCCTATGGTCACCACCTTCAAGCCCTGGCTGGACCTTCCCTGGGACTTCTGCTCAGGTTCCACTTTGTAATACGTTATTTTGTCCTGGCTATTAGAGTGCTTTGTATTGTAATCCCACTCTAGTTGTTTCCAGGCTTTGTGACATAAGGAGGTGGCAAGGATTAAGCAAGCATGGTTTTCCTGGCTTCTGTGCCCTCCCTACTCCTCTCCAGGTTCAGACTCCTGAGTCTCCGGATGGCAAGCGTGGTTTTCCATGAGGAAGAGAGGGAAGGCAAACAGCAGTAGATGCTTTAGGAGCTTAGCAAAGATATCTTAGATTGGTGCCTTGCCTTCGTGAAGTTGACAGTCTTGGTAGAGAAAAACGTCTGCTTTTCTCCTAAAGAAGATAAGTTGTTTGCCATCTGTGCAAGTCGCAGATTTGGGAAGGCTCGAGGATAGATCAGGACTCAGTGGCAGGATGCCTTAAACATGACGCACATCTGAGATTCACACAGGAGGAAGGTTCTGGAAAGCCTAGTGCATGAAGACTGGCCCCAAGAGCTACAGATAGGACCCTGGGAAGAGAAGATTTGGGGAAGAGGAGACACATGGACACCCACTTCTGGAGAAGGTGTCATGGTGGGAGGCACTGAGTTTCCTCTGAGGGACTTAAAGACAGAAGTGATAGAAATGATGGAAGAGGGGCGCCTGGGTGGCTCAGCCGTTGGGCCTCTGCCTTCGGCTCAGGTCATGATCCCAGGGTCCTAGGATCAAGCCCCACATAGGGCTCCCTGCTCGGCGGGAAGCCTGCTTCTCCCCCTCCCACTCCCCCTGCTTGTGTTCCCTCTCTTGCTGTGTCTCTGTCAAATAAATAAATAAAATCTTTAAAAAAAAAAAAAAGAAATGATGGAAGACCCTTCCAACAGGCATAGAGGCTGGAAAGTGGAATGTGCTTGCACACTCTTCAAGCAGAGCTGAACCATGTCCCTGTTGGGATCCAGCCAGCAGTTCCTGAGAGGCAGTGAGGAACACAGGTGTTCACTACATTCATGAGTGTCCTGGTGAGAAGCACTAGTTAAACAAGGTTAAACAGGTGTGTGGTTAACTATTTGTGTCAGCCTGGCTAGGGTATGGTGCTCAGTTGTTTGGCCAAACACCTGTCTAGATGTTGCTGTGAGGGTTAACATTTAAATCAATAGGGTGAGTAAATCAGCTTACTTTCCATTGTGTGGGTGGGCCTCATCCAAACAGTTGAAGACATTAAAAGATTTGAGGTCCCCTAAAAAGGAAGGAATTCTGCCTTCAGACTCAAGACTGCAGAATCAACCATTGAGGGAATTTCCAGCCTGCCCTGCAAACGTCAGACTTGCCAGCCCCAAAATCACGTGAGCTAATTCGTTAAAATAACCTCTTTCTTTCTTTATATATATCCAATTGGTTTTGTTTCTCTAAAGAACACTAATACAGCAGGTGTCTCTGATATAGGACCTCGTCCGGCTTTCAATGCTAATATGCTTATCCAGGAAGGCATGGGATGTGGTTTCTCCAACTTGTCCCCCCCCAACCCAAAGGCCTGTTAACACAACCGTGTGTATGGTACCGGGCCCACACTGAGGTCATGGTTGTGGGGGCTGGACAGATGACCTCAGAGTTTCCTTTCTACCCTCCAAAGAGGGTTGCAGCAAGGCCTTGCCCTTCTTGGCTCTCAGTTTGGCTTTTTCCACAGACCCAACAGCTTCAACGGCCATGGCTACCACCTCTTCCAGGCCATGAGGTTTGCATTGAGGATATCAACAATTCCACGACCCTGCTGCCTAACGTCACCCTGGGGTACCAGCTGTATGACGTGTGCTCAGAGTCAGCCAACGTGTATGCCACACTAAATGTGCTCTCCACACTGGGGACGCATCACATCGAGATCCAAGCAAACCCTGCCCACTACTCCCCTGCTGCCCTGGTGGTGATTGGACCTGACACCACCAACCATGCTGCCACCACTGCAGCCCTGCTGAGCCCCTTTCTGGTGCCCCTGGTAAGCTGGGGCCCCAACTGTGTGTCTGTCTCCCCTTCTGGCAAGTCCAGTGCGGGCTGGGAATGGTGGGCAGGAATCACTGGGCCCCAAGGCCAGTCTGGCCCCCTGGATCTCCTGGGTGGTCACCGCTCATGAGTCACATTGCAGGGGGCCCTGCCACATCACAGTCCCCACTCCAGCATTTCTTCCTCCCTAAATGCTGCATCCAAACCTCCTTGCCTCAGTGCTCCTGAGAAAACCCATTCTCCTTTGAAACTGCTGCCCTTCACACTCCTCCCACCATTCTGTCTTCTTTGTGAAGAATGGAACACCCTTTGTGTCCCACCCCACAGACTTCTCCACTTCTCCCCTGCCCTCCTTCTTCCTTCCTGCCTTCCTCGCCTCCCTCTGGGCTCAGGCTCAGAGGTGTGGTCTCCCACTCAGAGTGCTGTCCCCCTGGGCCTTGCCCCCTCCTCTGCTTATCAGCCTCTCCTAGGCTTCCTCCTCCTCCTGTAAGCTAGCCTTATCCCTCCCCATCTTCCAGGCACCCCTGCTCCCAGCACTGTCTTCCCTCTGCCCGCTTTCCATGGAAACTTACCTGCAGAGCCCTCTGGTCTGGTTTGCTTCTCCATCTTGTCATTTGCTTCTCAACCCCCTGCCCTGGCTGCTGCCCCACCACTCCTGCTCTTGTTGTGATCTGGAGGGCTTTCTAGGTCTCCAAATCCAACAAATGCTTCTCAGCCCCTTTTTACCTGACATGAAAACTCTGTGACATTCCCGACCAGTCCTTTGGTGACATTCTTTTGTCAGCATTTATGACCGGCCCCGTCTCACTTATGGCCCTTCCTCCTCCTCCTCAGTCTCCTGTAGAGAATCTCTTCCCCACCTCTTCTGAAAAGGTGGGTGATTCCCAGAGTACAGGATGCTCCCTTTCCCAGGCAGGTGTTGGGAATAAAAAATTTCCTCTACTCTTCCCGATTCTTCTGGCTGGTCTAAATATTAAATTGACAAGAGACAGATTAACAGGAGAAAGCCAAGATTACATACGAATAGGGAATCCACATAAACGTGAGAGGTTCAAAGACAGGCAAAAGGAGGCTTATATGCTATTCTGAACTAAGGAGAAGCTGGTAGGGGTCTAGGACTTCAAAGGAGAGGAAGACAATTCACAGGAAGAGAAAAGAGAGTAAACGTTTAGTAAACAAATGTTTGCCAGGCCATCCAGAAACAATGGGACATAGAGAGGAATTTTAATAAATCAGACTTTGCTAAGATCCGCCCCTGCCCACCACACCTAGCTCCTATTATATTGTAGTTATCTATGGTGACAGTTCCCTAACCTCGAGCAGGTCAGCTATCTAAATTCTTTTAGGCAGTTAGGGGAAAGGTCAAACGTTTCCTCCTGAGTCTTTTGGGCCTTAATTATTTCCAACTGGAAATTAACCCACATGCCAAAGTGGCGTATCTTGGGGCAATTCATTCAGAACCCCTACACAGGCCATGAGCCCCATGGCTCAATTTCCCGTTCTCTAGCTTCTGTCC